TTGTCTTGGTGTAGTCCCAATAGTTTGTTTTTGCTTTTATTTCCCTTGCCTTGGGAGAAACATCTAGAAAAAAGTTGATACAGCTCATGTCAAAGAAGTTACTACCTGTGTTTTTGGTGTAATTGTAAATGGGATTATTTTCTTAATTATTGTCTTTCTGCTTAATTATTGATGTATAGAAATGCAACAGATATCTGTACATTGATTTTGTACATCCATTTTGATTTTTTCCTGCAACTTTATTGAATTGCTGTGGCTAGGACTTCAGTATTGTGTTGAATAAAAGTGGTGATAGTGGACATCTTCGTCTTACTCCTGACCTTAGGGGAAAAGTTCTCAGTTTTTCCCCATTGAGGATGATGTTCACTGCGGATTTTTCATATGTGGCCTTTATTTATGTTGAGGTATGTTTCCTCTAAATCTACTTTATTGAGAGCTTTTATCATGAATGGATCCTGTACTTTGTCAAATGCTTTTTCTGCATGTATTGAAATGATCATGTGGTTTTTATCCTTTTTCTTATTGATGTGATGTATCACGGTTGATTGATTTGAGAATATTGAACCACCCTTGCAATGCAGGAATAAATCCCACTTGATTGTGGTGAATAATTTTTAAAAAATAGTTTAAAAATATATTGTTGGATTTCATTTGCTAATATTTTATTGATGATTTTTGCATGTTTATTCATCAGGGATATGATGCAGTTCTCTTTTTTAGTGGTATCTTTGTCTGGTCTTGGTATCAGGATAAACTGGCCTCATAGAATGAATTTAGAAGTGTTCTTTCCTTTTCTATTGTTTATAATAGTTTAAGAATAGGTATTAGCTGTTCTTTAAATGTTTGGTAGAATTTGCCTGTGAAGCTGTCTGTTCCTGGACTTTTGTTGTTGGTAGTTTTTTTGATACTGATTCAATTTCTTTGCTGGTAATGGGTCTGTTTAAATTTTCTATTTTCTTCCTGTCTCAGTTGGGTAGTTTATATATTTCTAGGAATTTATCTATTTCTTCTAGGTTGTCCAATTTGTTGGTATACATATTTTCATAATATTTTATTATAATTTCTAATATTTTTATAGTGTTGGTTGTTATTTCTCCTCCTTAATTTGTGATTTTATTACTTAAGTCTTTGTTTCTTTTCTTTTTGCTAAGTCTGGCTAGAAGTTTATCACTTTTACTAATTTTTGTAAGGAATCAGCTTCTGGTTTCATTGATTTGTTCTATTGTTTTCTTAGTATCTGTATTACTTATTTCCTCTCTAATCTTCATGATTTCCTGCCATTTGCTGGTTTTAAGTTTTGTTTATTGTTCTTTTTCTAGCTCCTTTAGGTGTAAAATTAGGTTGTTTACCATATATTTTACTTGCTTCTTAGGATAGACCTGTATTGCTATAAACTTTCCTCTCAGAACTGCTTTTGCTGCATCTCAATGGTTGTGGACTGTTGTGTTTTCATTTTCATTTGTTTCCATGTACTTTTTAATTTCTTTTATTTCCTGGTTGACGTATTCATTGTTCAGTAGCATGTTTTTTAACCTCCATGTATTTATGGTCTTCCCAGATTTTTTCTTGTGGGTGACTTTTAGTTTCATACTGTTGTGGTCAGAAAAGATGCATAGTATTATTTCAGTCTTCTGGAATTTATTGAGGCTGGTTTTGTGAACTAATATGTGATATTTTCTGGAGAATGTTCCATGTGCACTTGAAAAGAATGTGTATTCTGCAGTTTTAGGATGGAATGTTCTGAATATATCTGTTAAAACCCATCTGTTCCAGTGTGTCATTCAAAGTCATTGTTTTCTTGCTGATTTTCTGTTGAGATGATCTGTCCATTGATGTAAGTAGAGTGTTAATGTGCCCTAGTGTTATTGTATTATTATTAATTCCTTTATATTGGTTATTGTTTTATGTAATTGAGTGCTTCTGCATTGCGTGCATAGATACTTACAATTATTATATCTTGTTGGATTGTCACCTTTAGTATTATATAGTGTCTTCTTTGTCTCTTTGTTTAAAGGTCTATTTTGGTGAAATAAGTATTGCTACTCCAGCTTTGTTTTGACATCCATTTGAATGATAAATGTTTCTCCATCATCTAACTTTCAATCTGCAGATATCTTTAGGTCTAAAATGAATCTCTCATAGGCAGAATATAAATGGGTCTTATTTTTTTTACCTTTTTTTTTTTGATTGGAGTGTTTATTCCATTTACATTCAAAGTAATTATTGATAGATATGTATTTATTGCCATTCTGTCACTCTTGTTTTTTGTTTTTGAAGATTTACTCTGTTTCTTTCTTATCTTTTTCTCTTTCACGTTTTGGTGATTTTCTTTAGTGATTTATTTGGATGTCTTTCTCTTTATTCTTTGACTTTTTATTATTGGTTTTGGATATGTGGTTACATTGGGTTTGTAAATAACCTTTACTCTTTTTTTCTAAGCTTATTTAATAATTTTGAGTGAGTGAGTGAGTGAGAGAGAGAGAGAGAAGAAGAGAGAATCCCAACCAGGTTCCATTCTGTGAGCATAGAGCCTGATGCAAGCCTTAATCCCGTGACCCCAGGATCATGACCAAAGCTGAAATCAAGAGTTGGACCCTCAACCTACTGAGTAACGCAGATGCTCCTAGGTTTTTATATAACCTTTTTTTGCATATAGCGGTCTATATGAAGTTGATGGTCTTTTCAGTTTGAACCCATTCTTTTTTCCTCTCCTCCCCACATTTTAGGTATGTGGTGTCATATTTTATATCCTTTGTGTGCATGTGTGTGAGTTCCTTGACTGATTTTTTTACAGAAATATTCATTATTCCTGCCTTTGCTTTCCTCCTTTATACTTTTGGTCTTTGCTTTCCACTAAAAGAGTCTCCTTTAATATATCTTGCACGGCTGGTTTAGTGGTCATGAACTGCTTTAGTTTTTGTTTGGGAAGCTCTTTATCTTTCCTTGTATTCTGAATGACAGCCTTGCTGGATAGGGTATTCTTGGCTGCATATTTTTCCCATTCAGCATGTTGAATATATCGTGCCACTCCCTTCTGGCTTGCAACATTTGTATTTAAAGTTCTGCTGGCCTTAGGGGTTTGCTCTTGGAGGTTAAGGACTTCTTTTGTCTTGCCGCTCTTAAGATTTTTTTCTGTATCACTGTATTTTACAAGTTTAATTACATTTTGTCTTAGTGTGTGTCTGCTTTTATTGATCTTGACAGGAGTTCTCTGTGCCTCCTGAATCTGATTATCTGTTTCCTTTCCCAGATTAGGGAAGTTTTCTGCTATTATTTCCTCAAATAAATTTTCTGACCCCTTTTCTTTCTTTTTCTGGGACACTTATGATACAGAGATTATTATGTTTGATGGAGTCACTGAGTTTCCTAGATCTATTCTCCTAAACTGATTGCTGCCTATTTTATACTTCTTTTATTCATTTCTTCTTCTCTTTCTGTTTTCTTTTATGCATTGATAATTTTCCATAGTGGTGTACTCTGATTCCCTTCTTTTTCTCTTGTGTATCTACTATAGGTTTTTGCTTTGTGGTTACCTTAAGGCTTACATAAAACATTTTAGAGTATAGTAGTATACATATATATATATGTGTGTGTGTATATATATGTGTATATATATATGTATATTTTAATATTTTAAAGTTTATTTATTTATTTTGAGAGAGAAACAGAGATAGCTATGAGAGTGGGGGAGGGACAGAGAGAGGGAGACACAGAATCCCAAGCAGGCTCCACCCTGTCAGCACTGAGCCTGATGTGGGGCTCAAACTCGCAAAACCATGAGATCATGACCTGAGCTGAAACCAAGAGTTGGACACCTAACTGACTGAGCCACCCAGGCACCCTGCTATCGTAGTATATTTTAAGTTGATTAACAACTTCAATTACATACAAAAACTCTACCCTTTTATGGCTTCCTTTTTATGTTTCTGATGTCACAATTTACATCTTTTTATATTGTGTATCCATTAGTAAGTTACTACTGCTATAGCTATTTTTAATACTTCTTTAATCTTTATATTTGAGTTAAGCAATTAGCATACCACTATACTATACTATCGGAGTATCCTGAATTTGACTATGTAATTATTTTTACCAATGTATTTTATTTTTTCAAATGTTTTCATGTTACTGATTAAAGTCTTTTCATTTTAGCTTGCAGAACTCCTTTCAGAATATCTTGTAAGGCAGGTCTGGTGGTGGTGAACTCCCTCACCTTATGTTTGGGAAACACTTAACCCTCTCTTTCATTTTAGGACACCTTCTCCAGCAAACCCGCTGGGGTCCTCTGCAGAGCAGGCCACTGGGAAATGTGATCACTTTTTCTGTATATTGATACTGATATTGGTAGCTTCTGCCCTTCTTCCTTGTTTGAAACCCTCTCCATATGTCTTGGCTTTGCCAGTCTCTGAGTGGGGTGAAACCAAAGTAGATCTCTTGTACAGTGCCCCAGAAGGGTAGGGGAGCTGGTCTCCTACCCTGTCCTCCATTTCCCAGTGAGGGGAACTATTTCAAGCTGGAGCATTTCCTCTTGGTGCTAAACAATGTTGGCCTGGTGGATGGGATGATGCGGTCAAAATGAAGCTGTTTTCCTTCCCTTTTTGTGAGATTATTCTACTGTGTTGCTAAAGTTTGTTGAATGGATTCCTGAGCTCTCCCAGAACTATTTTTGTTTGTTCATAACCATCTAACTGTTGAACTTTGTTGTACAATGGAGGCTGGGTCTCCTACTCCATTGTTTTGGTGATGTCACTCTGAACAGTCTCTCAGTGTTTGCTTTTAATAGCTGGATGCTATTTGGAATACCTTCTTGTGAGAGTTAACCCAGTTGAAGTACCAGAGAAAACATCCAAATATATTCTACTGTGGGTTTTGGTTAATATTTGAACTATAGTTGCTTTTGCAAGGATAACACTTTTACAGCATAGTTTTACATATTATTGTCCTTATTTAAATAAATTTATATTAACTGCCCACTGAAATTTTTCTTTTCTTTTTCAAAGACAATGCCACATCACAAGCTTTGGTTCTATTTGGTGCCCCTAAGGAAGCCATTGAGATTTTTCATGAAAATAAAATGACAAATACTGAAGGTAAGGACAAAAAATAAGTTATAATAATCCATGTAAGCTATATTTTCTCATTGGTTTGTGATGTCCATATTATATTTTTATTAAGAAATACATCTTAAATATCAGTACTATTTAGCATAATGATATATAATATTAAGAACACAATATTATTACCTATTTTATTAATAATATTATATTACAGTTGGTTATAAGAATTGTTTATAATTTCAGAAATGTTGAATTTTTAAAATGAACATTTTCTTTATTGCTTATGGCAAGATTAGCAGGTGCTAGAGCCTTTCCAGTTCATTGAGGATATGTTTCTTAGAAGAAAAAGAAGCAGGGCTCATGTTTTTGTGGTGTGAAATCCAGAATTCAGAGTCCATAAAATATTAGCTCTTGAAGGTGTTTCTGATATTGTATGTGGAAAGAGGTAGAAAGAGATGACAAAATGCATACATTTCATGTATGAGGGTTCGTACTTCAGATTATTTTGGAGGAGAACTCTATATTAATAAAAATGTTTACTCTTGATTTTGATAAACTTCTGCTCTGGAGATTTTCAGTTTGACAAGATAAAATTGGGATAAGGTGGCATTCTGATTCTTTACCTATTTTTCTCAGGTAGAAATGTTGAAGAGAGTTTTAATCTCCAGACTTAGGGTTTATTGTTACAGTTTGGGACAAAGTTTGTAAAATACCAATGATTGGTTTATGAAACAGTTAATTCAAGACACTGAGGGTTTCCGGACTACCAGCAATTCCTGGACACCATCTAGGATCCTAAAAGGCAACTCAATTCTGACACCATCTCCCTAGAACTAGAGTCAGATCCCACAGGTTAAGAGCTTAGTTGTACAAAATTTCCCTTCCCCCCACCACAGAGGCCAATCCAAAGCCCAGATATCACCTACGCTTCTGACCAACTACTATAGACTGGCAGTTCCGGTGAACCCCCCTCCTTGAGTTTGCTAGAATGACCCACAGAACTCAGAGAAACATTTTCCTTACTGGATTACGGGTTTATTGTAAGAGGATATAACGCAGGAGCAGCCAGGTGGAAGAGATGTATAGAGTAAAGTAGGGCAGATGGTGCCGATCTTCCGTGCCTTCTTTGAGTTTGCACTCTCCTCAAATCTTCATGTGTTCACCAGCCTGGAAGCATTCCATTCCCTCTCCTTTTGGATTTTTATGAAGGCTTCTTTACCTAGGCATGGCTGATTAAATCATTGGCCATTGGCAATTGATTCCCTCCAGCCCCTCTCCCTTTCCTGGAGGTCTGGAACGGGAGTGAAAGTTGTAATTCTCTGATCATGCTCCAACTTTCCAATCATATTATCTCCCATTCTCTTGCTTGTCTTTTCATTTATTGTAATTTTTTTTTTAATTTTTTTTTTCAACGTTTATTTATTTTTGGGACAGAGAGAGACAGAGCATGAACGGGGCAGGGGCAGAGAGAGAGGGAGACACAGAATCGGAAACAGGATCCAGGCTCCGAGCCATCAGCCCAGAGCCTGACGCGGGGCTCGAACTCACGGACCGCGAGATCGTGACCTGACTGAAGTCGGACGCTTAACCGACTGCGCCACCCAGGCGCCCTGTAATTTTTTTTTTTTTGAGGAGCTGAATGTTTTGTTTGGTGAAGTCTAATTTATTTTTTCTTTAATGTTTCTCTCTCTCCATCCTTTCTTCTTTCCTTTCTGCCTCCTGCCTGCTTGCACTTTAAATATATTTTTCTATTATATTCTGGCCTGCATTTTTTTCTTATTAGAATAGTAGCTCTTATTCATATCCTATTACCTTCATAGTCATGTTTTCTGGCTATTTTAAAGACTATTTCTTTATTATTGTTTTTTTCAGCAATTTGACTATGATATTCCCAGATGTAGTTTGTTCTCTTTATATTTTAGTTGTTTGGGATTTGCTGAGATTCTTAGATGTATAAGTCAGTGTTTTTTCATCAAATTTTGAAATAATGTGGCTGTTATTCCACAAATATTTTTCACTCCAAATTTCTTTTTTTTTTTCCAAGAACCTCAACTTCACGTTAGATTGTTTGATTTTTGTCCCACAGTTCTGTTCTTTTCATTCTCCTTTCTGTTCTTTAGAGTAGATATTTTCTATCAATTTGTGTACACATTCACTGAGTCCTTACCATATTCAATTTGTTGCTAAGTCCCACCAATATATTTTTTAATTTAAATTTTCATACTTTTCAGTTATAGAATTTCCATTTGTTTTTTTTCATAGTTTTTATTTTTATGTTGATACTAAATATGTGTTCAGTTGTAAAGACCAGATTTTCCTTGAACATATTTTTTTCTTTACCTTTTAGAGCGTATTTATAATTTACTTTAAAATCTTTGCTATGTACAACTTCTGGGCTATCTTGGGTTCAGTTTCTACTGATTTTTTTTCTAGACTTTTAAAACACATTCTTCTGTTTCTTTGTATGATTTAATAATGGATATTTATGTAGTACATTGTGAAGATTCTGGATTCTGTTATTTTTTTCTGAGGAGAATTGATTCTTTTCTAGTAGACAGCTCAGTTAATCATTTGATTAACTTAAAAGTGGTATATGCTTGGGAATGTCTGTGGCTCAGTCAGTTAAGCACCAATTTTTGATATCTGCTTAGGTCATGATCCCACGGTCATGGGATTGAGCCCCACACTGGGCTCTGTGCTGACAGTGTGGACCCTGCTTGGGATTCTCTCTCTCCCTCTCTCTCTCTCTGTCCTTCCTCTGCCTGCTATGTCTCTCTCTTTCCCTCTCTCTCTCACAATGAATAAATATACATTTAAAAAAAGTGGTATATGCTTGGTTTTCTGCAAAAAATATTCAGGCAATTTCACTCTACACACACACACACACACACACACACACACACACACACACAGTCTAGCCCTTATCTACAGATTCAGAGAGCACTCTCACATGGATTTTTTGGGGTCCTTCTCTGCATGGCTGTGTGTTTTTCAGTTTCCTGCCCTGAAGATTCTGTCTCCACTACCTATGATACTAATCTTTGCCCCTTATCTCAACAGGATTTCCATGTTCTTTTCTTCCCCCAGATCTCTATATTGCAATTGAAAAATTGTCCCTTGGCAGAGAGCATGATTATTGTGGGACTCAACCTTATGAATTTTCCTTTCTCAGGATTCAAAGCCTGGAATTCCTATTTTCCAATGTCTGAAAATAGTTGTCTTGCGTTTTTTTTTTTTTTTTCATACTTGGAAGACTAAATCTATATCAGTTACTCCTTCACAGATAGTAGTAGAAATATTGATTGGTGGGATTGTTGTATGAAGATTTCTTAGGAGAGAACAGAAGCCAGGTTACAGCATGATAACATTTTTCAAAAAGTGATTTATTCTTTCATTTATTTATTCAATAGCTTTTAAGCCACTAAATATAATTTCTCTCCATAAAGAATGCAAAACTTCATGGGAAGATAGATGTGACACAGTTAGAATGCAATGTGTTAAGTTCTAATAAAGAAATAGAAATTATACAGGTAGATCCAAATGTCTGAAAGATTCAAGAATTCCTCATAGGGAAAGGGCAATGTAAGAAGGCTGTTAATATTTGCATAGAAATTGCAATTTACAGAAGAGAACAGGAAGTGAGGGTATTGTGACTGTTGGTATAGAATGCTCATCTGAAAAAATTGCTAGTCAAAGCAAGATTTAGTATAAGATAATAGCTATAGGAAGTAGTCAGACACAGAAATAGACCTGTGATTACTTAAGGGAAGCAAAACTAAATATACTGAAATTGCAGAGTTTTAAAAGACTGAAGGGACTGGTGATAAGTGAACACTGAACAGGGCCATTTATATATTAAAAGTGGTTCGGGGTTGCTGGGTGGCTCAGTCTGTTAAGCGTCCGACTTTGGCTCAGGTCATGATCTCACAGTTTGTGAGTTCGAGCCCTGCATTGGGCTCTGTGCTGACAGTCAGACCCTGGAGCCTGTTTCAGGTTCTGTGTCTCCCTGTCTCTCAGCCCCTCCCATACTCATGCTCTGTCTCTCTCTGTCTCTCAATAATAAATAAATGTTAAAAAAAATGAAAAAAAATAAAAAGAAAGTGGTTAGAGTAGATGCAGTCTTTAGTCATCTCCAACTCTGAGAGTCTATGCATACTATTTTATATATTCAGTGATAAATGTCTTCTACATTGTAAGGTTCAATAAAAAGAAAGTAATTCTAAAGTCAGAGAAAGGTTCCCTATACCCCGATTCCTCCTCTATGTAACAAAAACTAAAGGGAACTTTGTGTCTATAAAAAAAAAAAAAAAATTAAAGGTACTTTCTGTTAATCACACAGAGGCTTTCCAAGGAGGAGAAGTTATTTCTAAACTTGAGAACACTGACTTTTTCTACATCTGGGAAAGAAAAGATGTTAAAAGGGATAACAGAATGTGAAAAGCAAATCAGTGTTTCGATAAGTTTTCTCCTGAGTGCTGAGTTCAGATAAAGGGACAATACAGTAATTCGGGTAATGGACATAAAGGAACCACATATTAAAAGCAGGAGAGAAGGGAGGATGGGTTGGGTGAATAAATTTTGAAAGGATCACATTCACTGCAAAGAGAGTTGGCAGTTTATGAACACTGCATTTTATTTCATTTGCCCATAAAATCAACCAGTCTGTATTTTTTTAAATGGGAGTTTCATGTTATAGAGCCAACAAACCTCAACTGTAGCCTAGATCCAGGAAGATCTTACTTACCTCTTAGGCATTGGTTCTGAGTAAGGGAGTTAAAGTTGGGCAGATGTTTAGAGAGGTTATAAGTCTTGCCTGAGCTTGTCTTTAAACACTCACCCTGACAATTTGTGCACAGGCTTTGCGAGGAGTTCTATCAGTATGTTTGACTAAAATCATTAATTAGCTGTATCATGGAATTTAAGGTGAAAAAGATTTTGTACAACACCCTACCAACCCATTCATTTATTAAGTCAGAAATCTGAGATTAGAGACTGGATAGCTTTAACTTAAGCACAGTTAGTTATCATTCCAGTCAAAAAAAGAATGAACATGGGCACCTAGTGTAGTGATCTAGGGTGTCTCTAAATTGAAAAGAAATGTAAAGGAAAGTTGTAACTTGTATTATGCCTGTATTAGAATAAAAACAGTGATAATAACTCGTGGATTCTGGGTTTACATTGTGCTACTCAAGATGCCATGTCTTTTACAGACTTTTATTGCAAATTTTAACTTCATCGTATTTCTTCACTTTACTGTATGCAAAATGTTAATCCCAAACCATAGGGGTGTAATGGAAATTAATTAGTATTCACATAATAGGGTGAGAGTGGTACATACAAAAAAAATGTTAAATGAGTCATTGCCATCCTTGTTTTCTCCACATTTAATGAAGCAAAACAAATGTTTTGAGTCTAAGGACAACTGCCTGGTTGTTAAATGTGTATTAAAACTTTATTTCTAGAGGGAAGGGCAACATGCCCTTATCAAGATATTTGGATAGGAGATCAATATGTAATTTTCACCAGCTTGTTCTTTAGCCCTATGACTGTTACGGAGATGAAAATATATATCTGTGTATGAACTATAGATGAGAGATGGAATATAACACACGAAATGTTCATAGCAAGTATATGTGTTGAGTATAGTCAAAGCAAACTAAGCTACATTGGAATATCAGCACTGATACCTTGAAGGAACAAGCAAAATTCAAAAATGAGTAATATGTGAAACATTTGAGATGCCCTGAAATATATTTTTAGGACTGCTTCGCTTTTTTTGCCACCTTTGTAAAAATATAAGAACAACCTTAAAGTATGGCTTATACTCCAAAGCCAAGGAGATATAGTTCAAATTTCAGTTCTCCCACCTACCAGTTCTGTGGAAACGGACACATTATATAATTTCTCTAAGCCTTTGTTTCCTCACCTATGAAATCGAGATAATCCATTTCATAAGATTGTGGTGAAGATTAAATAAAATATGGAATCAAAAGTACTTAGCATAGTTTCATGTTTGGCATATATTTTTAGTTCTCAAAAAATGTTAGTGTGCATATATGTGTGTATATATACGTATACACGTATATGTGTTTATACATATATGTAACATATGGGATAGTGTAAACATTTGTAAATGAAACAGGTATGCTGTTTTCACGGACATTATGTTTTTGGAGGAGATGTTATTTAAAAGATATTTAAAACATTGCTGTTTAAATGAAGATATTTACTCTCTGAGTTGGCATGGAAACAAAAAGCACAGTCTGGAGGCAACGGCATAACTTCTGTGTTCTTCAAGGTCAGCCGAAATGAGGACATCACACTGTTCTCACTGAGGCACCGAGCCTATTTTGTGTCTTGCATTTAAGATCAGTGACTTGCAGCTATCATCCAGCCCAATAGAGTCCTTAGAGGCAAAAGGACTGCAAGTAAGCACTTTGGTGGAGTTTCATGGACAACTTTGCTGTGCTTCTGCAACCTTCAGTCGACTCGGGACATGCCAGGATTAGAATCACTGAGGCACATCCGACTGAGTGGATTTTATGATGAGTACAACTTGAATGCTATAGTGGGAACATCAATCACTCTTTGCATGAGACTCCAATTTTCAGAAATGGAAGGTAGAAAATGAGGTTATTATAAGGATGAAGGGGACCTGCTTTTATTTTTTTTCAGCAAGAGAAACTCATGCTGGATTTAAAGAACTTCTTCAATGCATGAATGGTTGGATATTATTTACACTGGGAGATGTGGACTCTCTTTGAAGGGAGAATTTGAAATATATTTCAAAGGCATTTTTTAAGTGATTCAGGAACTATTTAGAAACTACTGGATTAACTGTTTTTTTGCCTTTTTTCTTTAGTTTTTTTTTTAATGTTTAGTTCATGATGTTATAAAATATTTTATATAATTACATATAATTAATATCACCTAGTATCATACCATTCTATAATTTTCTGAACTCTTTGTCAATGTGTTTATTAAAGAAATTTAAAAAGTGTTAGTATTAATAAAGCAGAATATTTTTTGCATATTCTGAATATCACAGTTTACTATTTTGTATGTAACTATTAACTAATTTCTGTCTGCTTTATCTTTAAGGGGTGAATGAAGGCATTTACTTTAGTTACCCATGTCGACGTCAAAGCTGTGCTTTAGTAAACATCCCAGCACCATGTGTCAACAAAATGATTTCACACATTGAAAATGTGGAATCTAAAATACAAGAGCATTTGAAACGGGTAAGATTTAAAATGCTAACATTTTTTGGAAGCTTGATAGAACCTGTAAGAGTTGTTACTCATCCCAGGGAGTTATTTTTTTTTAATGATACTTGGAATATTTTATAGAATCTTTGCTTAGTTGTATAATTTACTAATCTAGACATGTTTTTGATAGTCTCACTTCAGAAGGGTGAAACGACCTTATTAAATAGATTTTTTTTTCCCCTACCTGTTTGTTCGTTATCCGGAGGCAATCATGCTAAGTAGTAATTTCCATAAGCCAACTTGACTAGTAAATTAAATAGTATTTACATCATTTTTAGGGACACTAAAGTGATTAGATGATTAGATGAGTAAATTGATGTGTGAAAGGACGCTGTGCCCTTCTTAATGAGTTATTTTGTTCTAAAGAAATAAAGAAATACTTAATAGGTCTGTTGAAAGAGAATGTAATGATTCTGTCTTTTTAACCTGTTTGCCTTTATTATTCTGAAGGGAGTTCAATCCTGAAAACACTGTAACTTCTGGTTATTTTCAAAAGATGGCAAGAATGATAAAAACCTTCCCATACCTTTCATTAAGATTATTCTGTGCAAACACTGCACAAATAGATTGTGCAAACAAGAGGATAGGTTTGTGCTGTATCTCTTCCCTCACCACTGTTGTTGGATATGGCTCTGAGAAAGTTCTGATGGACCAGTCTTCATGCTTGATGTAGGGTGTTGTCTTCTTCAAGAAGCATACGAGTGTAGTCCTTAAAATTGCAGGACATTTCTTCTCAACATTTTTACCACTTGAAAATATTTTATCCAATAAAAGTTGTCAGCTGATTGTACCCTTGGGAGGAGTTTAACATTATTCAGTTTTATTCATTCATTGCCTATAGTCCCAGGCACTGTCTTTACCTGTCTAGTTCTGGGGGAGCAACAGGGCTCACCCCTTTACCAGTTTCCAAGGGATTATGTGTGCAGAGGGCAAAATAACGCAGAGAAACAACTTGGTGATCCCAGCTGGGACCTCCACCCCAAATTCCATTGCAATCCCCAACGTGAAGGGCAAAAAATAAGTCCTATTTTGAGTTGCAGATTATGTGATTCCTCTGGATTTGGGGGTTAAGAGTCAAAGCAGGTAACTGGTTAATTATGTCTCCAACATTACCCAAACTTCATGTTTTATTACTCCAATTGTTGGGGGAAAAAATGGCCCAATGATGAAGACAGGCTGGTTCATGAAGGATCTGCCAGCCAGCAAAAGAGAAAGGGGTGTTTTGCCCAAATAAGTACATTTCTTCTGCTAAGGCCTGCAAATCTGAAAGTATGGCTCAAATAACATTCTTGGCTTTGTTCAATTCACAGTGACATTTCTTCCCATTGAAATTGGGTTTTTCTTGGGACTGTAAGGAGTACATTTATGCTGGGATTGGGTTGGGGTCAAGGACAGAGAAAAAGAAAGTGATGCTCTCTCTAGGCCTGCAGTTCATCTTCTTTTAATTACACCATTTTCACATTTGCCTAACTTATCGATTGTGTTTCTCTATAAAGTGCTTGATTTTTAAAACAGCTTTATTGAGATAATTTACATATCATAAAGTTTGTCATTTAAAGTGTACACTTCAGCATTTTTTAGTGTATTTACAGAGTTGTGCAACCATTACCATAATCACAAAAGACCACATATTGTATGATCCCGTTAATGTGGAAAATCCAAAATAGGCCAGTCTATAGAGGCAGCAGATTAGTTTTCTAGGGCTGGGGGCTACTGCTGATGGTTGTGGGGTTTCTTATGGAAACAGTGCTTGTTTGCTTTTAATCAGAAACATCTTAATCTTTTATTAGATAAAGCTCTATAGATAATTATAAAGCCATCATCTATTTTGGGTATGGACTACATTAAGTGAGTGAAAAGATCAATCTTTTTTTAAATTAAAAAAAATTTTTTTTTTTAATTTTGAGAGAAAGATAGAAAGCAAGCAGGGGAGGGGCAGAGAGAGAAGAGAGACAGAATCCCATGCAGGCTCCGCCCTGTCAGTGTAGAGCCAGATGTGGGCTTGAACCCATGCACTGTGATATCATGACCTGAGCCAAAATCAAGAGGTGGACAGTCAATCGACTGAGCTACCCAGGTGCCCTAAGGTCAGTCTTCTTTGGATCAACCATTATAGTTTGTTTGCACACTGAATCGCAGTGGTTTCCGTTATAGTCAGAATGAATGCTGTAGAGCCTGTGATTAGCAGAGATGAATCTGCCATAAGTCTGTCCATGCATTCCTAATAGTTTAATTGCAATTCTGAATTTTGAAAAGAAAATTCTTCCAAGTAGAGTTACTGTCAACCTTTTCTCTATATTTTATTTTTGCAAAGAATGAGAAAACATGGCAATATGATAGAAGTAATTACCTGGATAACTTCCCATACAAGTACTAGATTTTGTTTTATTTTTTTTCCACTGTCTTTTTCTAGATGACCTAGACTAGAGATAGCTTTATTTACTTTGGAGTCATTTCTACTGAACTGAAAATTTTTTCTTCATTTGATCAATACAAATCATTAAAATGTTACCATGATTTGAAAGAACGGAATAGAAAGTATTTAGAAATCATTCTTTAAAATATAAAGAATGTGTTATACAAAAATGATAACATTATTAGCAGTAAAAGTGGTGTAATGGTAATACTAAGTGCTTACTATATATCATAGGCCGTATTAAACACTTAATATGTATGATTTCATTGAAACCTTACAAAAAACTTGTGAGGTAGAAACTGCCATTATCCCCAGTTACAGGTGGGGAAACAGATTCCGGAGATAACGACTTCCCCCAAGATCACACAGTCAGTGTCAGAGTTAGCATCCAGGCAGGTGTGTCTGAGATCTAAGAACATCCTATTCTCCCCCGTACTGAAAGTATCCCTGAAAGTAGGTCAGCTATGAGGATCAAAAAAATATGAATGATGAAATGCCTACAATTCCAGTTAGAAAATTTTGCTGTGCTTATGCCATTTCACATGTGTTTTTGAATTCTGAAAAATAATATTTAATCATCTGATCCTACTGACTAAATCTCTAATACTTTGAGTCCTCTTGTTCTGTTAATTCTATTTCATTTGAAACTTAAGGACACTTCAAATCCTAAAGTATTCACTATTTGCCATTCTATCATTCCCGTTTTCCATTATTTACTTTCTTGACTAATGTATTCATCTCTTAAAACACTCACTAATTGGTATATCTGGTTCTTTACTTTTTTATCTTACCATCCTTCTAGTCTGACAGAATTCTGCAAGCCTGATGAGTTCCCTCTCATGATCTGCCATCTCCATTCCTACACCCCAGGCTGCTGAATAGTGCCAGAAAACATTACACAGAAATCCCAATTTGAGATGTTACACATTCATGGTGTCCAACCTCAGTGGGGCCTTTAGCAGTGCTCTGAAATTATTCTGTTTGTTAACCAGAACTTTCTCTAGTATTTTCCAGTGGCTATTCCCGTCCTCTCTTTGGTTCAGGTCTCCAAATCCTCTAATTCATTATTCATTCATCTCTTACTTTACGAAGAAAATAGGAGGTATGACAATAGAAATGCTTCAAACTCTTGTTATCCCACAACATTCTTGAATTCCACAAATATTCCTTTTGTCCTTCCATGGGAAATCTCTTTCCTCCTCAGTAGCTACTCCCCTCATCTGCATTCCATCTTTTTCAAGGATCTTGTTCCATCAGGTGTTCACATCTCTCTTCCAAATTTACTTTTTTTTTCCCTAACTCACTCCTATCAATATTTAAAATATTGATGTTTCTCTTGTTTTCAAGAAAATATTTTTTATCCCATACACCTTTAAACATATCTTTTTCTCTTTCTTCATGTTTTACCTAACTATCATCTGAAAAGGATTGCATAAATTAAACATTTGTTTCCTACAAATTACTCACTTTTTCATCGGAATCTGGATTTGGTTTTTATTGTTTTAATGAAAATACCTTCAGAAAAGTAAACATTTTTTTTTCTATCTATTGGTATACACATACACACACATTCTCTCTCTGTCTCTGTCTCTCTCTCAAACTTTGTGGCTAGAACAAGCATTTATTTTGTTACCGTTGAGCAATTTGTTCTAGGCTCAGCTGGACAATTTTGCTAGTTCTTGCCTGGGGCCAGTTATGTGGATGTAAACACCTGCTAACTCAACTGGAAATAGTGACTAAGAGGGCCTCACACCCATGTCTGGGACAGTGTTCTAGGAGGACAGATCTCAGTGGGCAAAAGCTTAAACTATTTGCGTGTGTTATGATTGTTCAAGTCCCACTGGCCAAAGCAAAGCACATAATCAATCCCTTTGTTAATGCAGTAGAATATTAGACAAGATGTGGATGACATGAGAAATGAATTTGTGGGGACAATTTACGTAGCAGTCAATCTGTTGGTCCATTGACATCATGGTCCACAACCCATCCAATTGCAGACTGTAATCACCAACCCCCCAAAAGTTTCATTCCATGATGGTATCATGCAGAGGTCCATGATTATATGTTCCACAACAGATATGATGTGGATGATGTTCTCTGGGTGCAGCTTCTTTTGGTCTAGAGATCTGTGAATTAAAATGATGTTAAATACTGCTCCTGCACACTTAGCAAACAGTGGTGAAGCAGGGACAAAATTGTCACAATGAACAGTGTTACTCAAAAGGAGAGAAATGAAAGACATAACTTTCACTGATGCCTGTAATTCTGAAATTTATGAGGGCACATGGTGTTAGGTCTGTCACCTCTGAGTCTAAACAATGCTGCCAAGACCCAGTTCTGCTTCCTGGGGATAGTTTCCTAATTTGTGGTTCTCTTTGTCTCTTTGAATTACTCTCTGAGCTCTTGGTTCTGAGAGATATTTGGAATTCCGTAAGAAGTAGACCTGAGTAACTATCTGAAACTTTTTTCCTGTATTAGTTCAGGCTGCCATAAAAAATACCACAGGCTGGAAGAATTAAACAACAGAAGTTTATTTTCTCACAGTGCTGGAGGCTAG